CTGTTGGCCATAGTAATCACCAGCTTCTACTCGTCTAGCTGCTGCGATTGCTTCGTTCAGATTCTTTGGTGCGGTTACGGCTACAAAGGTGGTGTTTTTACCCTTTAGCCCACTCAAAAACATCCTTACTACATAAGCATCAGGAAGACAGTTGTTCGTGTTTACTCTACTAAGTAGTCTTTTAAACTTAGTAGCGTATGTATCTACCTTTTCCGAGTCTTTTTGGGTTAAGGTATTAAGCTCTATTTGCCAGTGGTGTTGTCTTTCAGGTGGGGCGAAGTATTCGATTAATAGATGGTAAAAACTATGATTTATTTTATTTTCATCTTCGGTATTCCAATACTTAATTTCTCTTTTATTCTCCTTATATCAGTCAGCTGCCGTTTCCCTGAGGTATCCAGATGCAATCTTTAACCTACGATCTTCAACCCAATTATTGGCTTCGGACGCTCTCTCGAACTCGTCGAACTATTCAATTGGATCTTCGTCATCGGTACCGAAGAAATTTTTAATCTTTACATGGTTACTTTCCCTTGTTCCTAATCTTTCCTTAGCGGTGTCGGTGAGGGAATTTGTAAGTAATTCCATCATTTCTTTAAACTGTTCAGTATTCATTTTCGATTAGTTACAAGTAAGGAGTATTTTAATTGACGAAGGTTAGATCTCACAGTCACCACCAAATGTTACAGGCTATTTTGTACTAAAAGAAACAACAAATCGATAGTTAGCACTTTTACTTATAACTTTGACTAATATATTCTTTATTCTGTTAGGCTTCTCGCCAGGGGCGTGACGTTGGTGATTCAAATTACCAATTTTTATTAACTTATAGATTCCTTGTGCATTATAACTGACTTTGACCACAACACTTTGGGTCAATACTTTACTCGAACCATGGTACGTTGGGTTCTGGACTAGACCACAGTATGTCGGTTCTGTCAACTAGCTCAGTAAAATGTCGAGCTGTGCTAAGTTAAGTTCAGTACGTCGAACCTATACTTCTGTATTTTTGTCAAGTTATATTTTGCATGCAAATTGTATTGATTTTATTTTACTACTTACAAGAGATGGTAATTGCAATATGATACAATAATGTCCCTTTAGTAATAAGAATACACAGTTCTTTTATAACAATTAATGTTTTGAGGCTAAGGGGTTTTATCAACTAAGGAGGTCTCTAATCTCTTTCTAACACGACCCCTCCCTCTTATTATTCTATCTGATGACACTTCTTATAATTATTTTCTCGTCACTACTCTCGCGTCATACTTAGGCTTAAACCTAATAACCGGAATTTTGTTGATAACCACGTAGGTATACCTATTTATGGTAATTTCTTTATTTATTTTACTCGGGTTCTCAAAAACCTAACTTATTAAAATTGGGGCATTTCCGGCGTAGTTCCGACCTTATTTCCGGGATTACCAATTTTCCCCGTAACAGCACATGACGGCAAGGCACTTACCTGTGATTGTATAGTCGCATTGAGTCCAACTATAATCCATGCAGAAGAGTGACAAATTATAATTTCGTTAACTTTCTCTCACCACTACCCTGAAATTAAAGAAGTCAATCTGAACGTTGGAATTTCAACAGTCACGAGTATAAAAAACTAACCAATAATAATTGGTTTTTTTTTGAGATGTTAAATACTGTTGACCACTCCCCCATTGCGCCTAAGCTTCGAAAGGAACGTTAAACGAAATTATAGTTTCAAAACGTCCTAAATAATAAATTAATAAATTTTATTAATAAAAGTGAATATTCAAAAAACTAAAAGTTTCGGAAACTGGTTTCGAAGTGGTTTCGTTTCGGGTAACAACTCTAGCCATCACACAATACATTTCATTTCAATTTAGCAACGAGTATAGCCAATCATTATTTTTAAATTACTAAATAAGATTGACTGGAGCTTCGCCAAAAAGTTGACTTTTAGGAGCATAGTCAATTAGATAGCAAGATCAGGTGTAACGCAAAAATTTGATGTTTTTTCGAAAATCGTTGATTACTCGTCATTTCACTTATAAACTTTCCTCCTGAAATACAAAATTTACTCGCTAAATTTTGCTATGTAGCATGACTACTATCATTAATCATAACAATTACTTCGAATCATACACTCATTTGATTGTATTGCTTTTTGTCTATTGGATAAAGGCCACGTGCCAGTCATTTTTCTCCCATGACTATGGTACTGCATAAAAATATATGTTACGCAATGCAATACATACATATCCTCACCTCAATAGATTTGATAAGTCCATATGTAATATATTCTTTCATTGCGTCAAAATGTCAATTGCAAAACTACCAGAAAAAACTGACAATCCATTAGATGTTACTAAAATATCCAACGAAATTAACCAATTACATTTAGAAGATAAATCTCAATATTTTCTTAATGAAATCATCAAAAAAATGTATAATTTGCATTATGAACAAAGATTGAAAGGCAAAAGTTACGGTTCAGTTCTTGACGTTTTAGAACAATTTCTAGTAGAAAAAAAGCAAAATCCCGACAGTATTATCAAATATTGCTTAGATAATCAATTCGATTCTATGGTTCAAATCATTCTTGCAACTTGTTACCGTCATGGTAAATGGGTTGAAAAAGATGAACATAAAGCATTCATTTATTATCAAAAATCAGCAGAGATGGAGGACGCTGCTGGAATGAATGGCATTGGAAATTGTTATCAACAAGGAATTGGAGTTGAAACGAATAAACATAAAGCATTTATATATTATCAAAAATCTGCAGAGATGGGAGACGCTGTTGGAGCACGTTATGTTGGATATTGTTATGATAGAGGAATTGGAATTGAAAAGGATGAATATAAAGCATACATTAATTATCAAAAATCAGCAGAAATGGACGACGCTGGTGGAATAATTAATGTTGGATACTGTTATCGACATGGAATTGGAGTTGAAAAGGATGAACAAAAAGCCTTTAAATATTATTTAAAAAGTGCCGAAAATGAATTTTGTTGTGGAATGCATTCTGTTGGTTGGTGTTATCAAAATGGGATTGGTGTAGAAAAAAATATAGATTTAGCTTTTGAATGGTATTTAAAATCTACTGTTACTGATCGTGAATGTCAACGCCATAACTATTTCCATTGGATAAATTATGATAATTTTAGAAATATTAAAGAAATAGGTAGAGGTGGATTTTCCGTAGTATATAAAACGTCATATGAAACATATGAAGAAGTTGCAATCAAGATAATAAAAGATTCGCATAAAAATAAAAAACCATTTTTAAACGAGGTTATTTTTTTTTTTTTTACTTGTAAATTTATATTCCCTATGAATTAATTGTATATTTGTCTATTTTTAGTTAAAGGCGTATCGTGAACTTGCTAAATACTATGGCATATCAATGGATAAAAATACAGGAGACTTTATTTTAGTATTAAATTACGCAAAATTTGGGTCATTATGTGAAAATCTTAAAGATGTATTTAAATTAGAGTGGAAAATTAAACTAAAGATGTTATGCGATATTGCTAATGATCTATCAAATATCCATTCTAAAAACTTTATACATCGAGATTTACATCCTGGTAATATTTTATTAAAAGAACGATATGAAGCTTACATTGATTCAGGTTCATCAATATCGGTTGATGAAAAACAAGATGGCTATACTTATGGTGTTTTGCCATATTTATCACCTGAGGTCTTGAAGGGAGAACCGTTCGCTCAAGCTTCTGATATTTACAGTTTTGGAATTATTATGATAGAAATATTAACTGGTCGAAGACCTTTCGATGATTACAATTTTGATGCTGAATTAGCAGCGATGATTTGTCATGGATTACGACCTGAATTTATTATAAGAACACCAAAATGTTATGTTAAATTAGCCAAACAGTGTATTAATTTCGATATGAAAAAAAGGCCTACAACTGTTGAGATTCTTAATAAACTTGAAAAATGGCATGAACTCATAGTCGCCAATGATAGCAATGTTAAATCAGATACGAAAAAAAGATCTAAGGTTGCTGGGGTCTATAGTAAACTTAAAAAATGGAAAAAAATTAGAACCGTCAATGATAGCGATGTTAAATTAGATGAAAAATATATTACTTTAGACAAAGAGATCAAACAGCAGTTTTTAGAAGCTGATGAATTAATCAAAGAATTGCCAATTATCTCGCAAAAACATAATAACACGATGTATACTTCTAAACATATTAATACGAGAGAAATTGTTTCAGAGGTTGAAAATTTTAAGATTAATCAATAGCTTAAACCAAATAAAGGGATCCGTATTGATATTATTTGATTACAATTTATTGTTATATATATATAGAATAAATTTTTATTAAGAGTATATAACATTTAATTTTAAATATGCGAATAATTTTTATACTTTTTATTAAATATTATTATTCTCGCTTGGATCTCTTTTTTCAAGCATTATAAAGAATACATTATGGGGAGTTGCGCACCACTTCGCAAATTTCTTCTCTGCTGTAACATATCGTTCCTCAGTGGCATAACATTAGTCACGGCTAGAGATGGGAAAATCGAGGATTTTTCGAATCTACTGCGCAGGCTGCGCAGCCTGCACGGGCCTGCATTACAGCTAATACGGGCCAAAATTGTTAAATTCTGCGACATTCCGGATAATTCCGGGTTTACGTAAAATTCCGCCTGCGTAGTTTCCCATCTCTAGCAGGGATCCGGAAAAATATTAATCTATTTATTTTTTTTTTTTTTTAGTTTGAAGCAGCAATCTTGCCTGTCTTTATTTTATTTTATTTTTTTAATATTAATGGTAAGACCATGCTTCTATCTTTATTGAATATTTATTTGAAATTTTTACATAAAACATAAATTTACTTTTAAAAATATTATAAAAAGAGTAGAAGCTCAGACTAGTTTATCTGTGATCTAAATCAACAGAAGTGGCCAAGGCTCACCTAAATTTGGGTGTTTGTAATAATATATGAAAGGTTAGTTTGGTATTTTATTCATTGTATATATCAGGAATTAATTTTAGAGTGAATTGAATTAGAAAGAAAAGATTGAGGTGAATATGAAATAAGATTAGAAGGTGAATTGAAAGTGGAAGGATGAGCTATTGATCTTGAAATACAATAAGGAATTCAAATTTTATGATATATTTGTTGATTAAGGTAAAGTAAAAACTTTATAATAAGTGTTATAGTTATTTTTTTAGATGATAGGTTTGAGACAATAGAAATAATTTCATTTAGAACTAGACTTGATAGAGTTGAAAAGACTGATGGTAGGTCTACTGTATTATGTGTGATTATACAATACAGTTATCTAATTTGGCAGTGAAGTTCAATTATAGTTTTAGAAATAGTATCGAGTGTATTTGTATTTAGAGTATGTTGTAATGAACTGTTAATAAGATTATATAGCAATTGATCAGATGAACATATTATCCAATGAAGGTGAGAACTGGTTTCATGACATTGGTGACAAGTTGGTGGATATGAGTGATATCGTTTGTGTAGAGTGTGTGGAGTAGGAAGATCATCAAGTAGGATTTTAATTCAAAAGATTTAAGAGCAGAAGATTGGAAGCTATATGAAAAGTTTGAGAGTTTTTGATTGTTGTTAATGTATAACCAAGTAACTTACCAATTAATTTGGTTAAAGATTTTGTTCCACTTTTGAAATCAGTTTTGTGTTGTCCATAAAGCATAAATATGTGCATGACAGATTGTACAAATATTGTAACGAATCGGTAATTCTAAAGAGAAGTTTTCAAGATTTAGAATATAAGATGGATTATAAATATTGTATGATATAAAAGTTAGATATGATAGGTTATGATGATTTCATGCTAATTGGTCAGCAAGATTGTTGTACATGTTATCTTGATATGCAGTTATTTTGTAAAAAATAATTTGAATTTTATATGAGTTGACAAAATTAATTAGTAAGTTCCATAATGAAAAGTATGGTATATGTGTATAGAATAAGGTTATAGAAGAGTTTACAATATTTTGGTATTTGGAAATTACAGATTGAGAGTTTATATATATGTTTATAATATTATTTCTAGAGGCAATAAGAATAGCAGATAGAATAGTAATAAGTTTAGTTTTAAATGAACAAAACTATAGTTTTGTTTGAATTTGAAATGTATGTAATATGGAGTTATTAAAAATTTGGACCCATCCAATACCCATAGAGTATTGTGAAGTACCCTAATCAATAACAGAACCATTTATATAAAAGTGAAGTTGTAACAGATTAGCATTATAGTTGGCTATTTGTTGAAGGTTGTATGTAAATGAACAAGATTGAAAATTGTAGAAATTGGTTGAGTAGCAATAGTAATATTTGGAAGGTTTAGAATTTGAATAAAATGTCGAATTACAATAGAGTATATAAGGTCAAGATGATTAGTATTAAAATTAAGAGTTTTGTTATGAGTATTAACTCAACCTAAGAATTGAGTTGAGAGATTAATAGGGATAACAATTGTACATTTGTTAACAATTGTTTGAGAGTTGAGAGAACAGCCTGGACATATATATAATTGAATGGGTGAAAGAAGATAAAGTCGAGTAAATTGTGATTCAATATTATTTTGCCAATATGTAATAAAATAGATTCAGATGTAGAAGATTGCCTTCTGGCTTTGTCAGCAATGATTTAATTATCAAGTACTATAATAAGTTATAGTTTTTTGTAAGATAAGAAGTGTCTGGTTGTATAACTATAGTAGTTTGTATTAGGTAAGTGTAAATGTTGATAAAATGTATGATTGTAAGAGTGGCTTGTAACTTGGTCTTCTAAATAGGTAAACCAAAGTGATTGTTTGTCTTTAGAGATCTTGTAAATACAAGAAGAAATGTGTTTTCAGTCCAATAAGTATGAGTTATCGAATATAATAAGTTGATCAAGATAGAGAATACCATGATGCTTAAGTTGTTTTTTGAAAGTTGAGTATTTTGAATATGAGGAAAGCAAAGATTCTAATAAGATAGAACCTTGTTGTATAGTGTATGAAATGTTGTAAGTTGGGTTAGAAATGAATATAATATTAAGATATTTAAAAAATTAAATTATTTTAAAATTAGTAGTATGTTTGTTTGATTCATCAATAATAGGATTCTTATGAATTAAAATACTAGTAGATGACTAAAGATTGTTTTGAAGTTGTTGAAGCCGAATGCAAGTGTTAATACTAAAAAGATCAGGAGAATTAAGTCTTTTAGTATAATTTGTAATATGGTGTTGAAATTGAATATCTCATATATTTCGAATATTATATAGTTGAGGATGAAGTAGACTAGTAAAAATTATACAGCTAAGTTTGACTTTGCTTTTAACAAGTCTAATGTGATTGGTAAGAATTTTGTTAAATGTGTTCTGACTTAGAACAATGTTATGAATACAATATTTAATAGTAGAATAATAATTGTATTGATAATATATTATGCATGTGTGTCAGTAATTTTTTTAGTACTTATAATTTTTATAAGATATGATGATTCAGCTGTAATAAGCTTAGTTTGTTTTGTTTGCTTATTGTTAAGTATAAACCAGCATCCTAAAAACTTAAATAATTCATTTGAAGGATAGAGGTTAAGTAAATGATTACTGTAAGTAATAAGACTGTAATTAGTTAAAGGATTATTAGTTGTAAGTATTGATTTGGTAGTATTGATTTGGATGTTGGCTATGTTGTAAAAGGATTCTGTTATTAACAGAATTTGTGAGAGTTCTTGTTATAAAGATACAATCCATAGAGTGTCATTCATATAGCCAAGAACAGAGCAGTGGAATTCAAGTTTGTTAAATGTTTGATTTTTAAGATTAGTTGATCAGGAAACTTTAGTATTGTATTCATAAAAGTTATTGTAAATGTATAAAATAAGTAGGTTATAGTATATTTTCTATAAAAGTGAAGTAATAGTTTCTTCCTAGTTGATACCATTATGAACTGGATATGAAGAGGTAAGACCAAAATTTATAATAACTTGATTTTATCGATCAGTAAATAGATTAATAATAGTGTTGGTAAAAATAACAAGAAGGACAAGACACTGCAAAAAGTATTTAAGAAGTTCAATATTAACTAAATCATAAGCTTTGCTTATATATTAAGACAAAAGCCAAATTGGTTTTTAATTACATGTTGCATCTTCAGTAAGGTTATTGAGTATGTGTATAGGTATTGAGGTACTATTGTTAGACAAAGCAATATAATTATATGCTAAAAGAATTGGGTGTTATGAAAATATTTTACTGATTCTGTTAGTAGTAATCTTTGTGTAGACTTTGCAGATATGTTCAATAAGACTTAAAGGACAAGTAAGGTTGAGATCTTCATCAAATATGTTTCACTTTGGAATTGGATAAATTCTACTATATTTCCATTATTTAGGTATTTGGCTTAAGTTAAGGCATCGATTAAATAGGACAGTTATGGCTTTAATGCAAATAGTATCTACATATTTAAGCATTTCATAACTGATACCTGTAGGTCCACAGGCTTTTTCATTTGGAAATTTTCTATAGTTTAAAGCACTTCTTCTTCCATGATGGAAGCAGTAAGAGGGTTATACTATTGGATATCAATGTGTACTTGTGGTTAATATTGTGTAGACCAAAAA